ATCTGCCTTTCTCCTCCCCTCAGCCCCCCCAGTCCTGCAGAGGGGAGAATCAGCCACATTCTTTACCAGCCACCAGGTTCAGATTTCACATCTTTCCTCACTAAAGCCACAACTCAGATCCCCTGTTGGTGAGGTGTGTCAGCTAAATCAGGATCTTTGAAATCATGATTGAAGCCACTTTGTAATTGCCAACAGGTTCAGCAGTCTCAGAGGAAGGACTGGCACACAGCCACCACCCTAAGTGTGCCTTGATTCCCCTGGGAGCCAGTTTCACAATCCAAAATACTGCTGAATAGGCAAGAAGAGACAATTATTTAACAGCATTGCATAGTGCTCAATCCAGAAATGTTCATTTCAGTGGATTTGCTCCAAGTCTCCTCTCCTTGCCTCTGATTTGGGGCGGATCAGTCCCCAGCTGGAAAGAGCAGCTGATTGCACAGGTTAATGAGAGTGAACAAGGATCAGGGATGCTTTGGGACCATCAAGTGAAACTCCTCCAAGCTGTCCTCCTTCACCAAGCACCTAACTAGGCTTTACATTCCTCTGGCAGTCAAACAAATTCCCGAGGAATCGGAAAAAAATAGAATAGAAACAAGAAATCTAAAGCACAAAAACAGTAGCATGATGAGAACACAGAGAAAACAGACCCAGTAACTGTCAGGCAGGAAAGGAGCATTTTTGTAACAGGTCAGGGAAGAAACAAAAATCATTGAGTTTCAGCAGGAAAGAGCAAAAATGTATCAAAGTAAAAAGCTTCACCTCCCTGAAGATCATTCTACAGAGAAATAAACTGCTGAGGAAGATCACAGGGCAGAGCTGCTGAGACATCAATACTGATATTTTCTGATTCTGAGATGGATCCCACTGAAGAAGTTCCAGTGGTACACAAAGATATCCCTGGCATCAGGAAATACTGTGCACAAGAGTACATGAAACCTTTTCCTTTCCTTTCCTTTCCTTTCCTTTCCTTTCCTTTCCTTTCCTTTCCTTTCCTTTCCTTTTCCAAGAGCTCTCAGCACCAGCAACAGGTCACAGGCTCTCAGTGCAGTCCTCAGCCAAAAATCCTAAAAGAGGAACAGTCACACTGCTCTCAGGCTGAGGGTCCACCAGCCCCAAGCCTCATCCTGTCTCAAGCACTGCACAAAACCAGATGTCCAAGGGGGAACATAAGAATAAAATAAACTTACAGAGATATTTCCTTAAAATTTATCTTTTAGATATAATCTACAAATCTGTTTTCATAATGTCTCTTTTGGACTCTTCACAGTTAAGGAATTTCCTGAGCCACAGAGAGTGTTTTTGTTGAACAGCCCTCAGTGGGCCCCTCTTCCAGGAATTTATCTGTCTCTTCTTATCAGCCAGAACCGGCCTGCGTGATCCCAAGGTTTTTGGAAGCTCCCCCAGATTTGCTAGGAATCTCTGATAAGCAGATCACAAATTACACTGATGCTTTTGTCTTTCCCAAAACCTGGCCTTCAGACTGTGAGCTAAAGCAGGAAGAACAACAGGACCAAAGGGAAGTGCTCCATCACCTCTTGGTCAGGCCCTCTACAGAGATGGATTTCTACATCTCCCTTTGCCTCCATGAGTAACAGGAAGTGAGATTTAATACTTCCTCCTTGCTAACTCAGTAAGCTCTGTTATACAACACAGGCCTTCAGGGAATTCTCTGACTTTGGAAATCCTTCGGCAAAAAATTTCCCCTTCTGATGACAGCTGGGTTCCCTCTGAATTTCTCTGACCACAAGGAATATAAAGAGCCCAAAAAGAAGAAGTTATCAGAACAGCACAAGGACCTTCATTCTTCTCATTGACCTGTCTCAATTTTTTCAGCTTGCATGGATTTTTTTTCCCTGACATTATCCAGTTCCACACATCCCTCATCTCCTCCAACAAACATCTTCCTATCACACTACATCCACACATGATAATTTTCACACTGTCTCCTGGCTAAGAGCATCTTTTGCACACAGAAACTTTTAAATTGAAGGTTTGGGATAAGCCAGGGCTCCAGGTTACTCTGCAGGGCGCATGGTTAGCAGGAACACAGCACACATCTCTCCTGGAAGGCAGGTGAGACTTCTGTGAATCACAGAATGGTTTGGGTTGGACAGGACCTTACAAGACATCTCATTGCAACACCTGCCATGGCCAGGGACACCTTCCACTAGCCCAGGTTGTTCAGAGCCCCATCCAACCTGGCCTGGGACACTTCCAGGGATGGAGCAGCCACAGCTTCTCTGGAAACTTGTCCCAGGGCCTCACCATCCTCACAGGGAAGATTTTCTTCTCAATATCTAATCTAAATCTCTTTTCTTTTAGTTTAAAACCATTCTCCCTTATCCTATCACCATCCATGCAACAAGTATCCCTCTCTCCTTTTATAATCCTCTTTAGGCGCTGGAAGGGGCTCTAAGGTCTCCCCGGAGCCTTCTCTTGCTCAGGCTGAACACCCGCAGCGCTCTCAGCCTGTCTCCATGGCACAGGTGCTTTATCCTCCGGAGCATCCCACAACAAACAGGATGTCACTCCATAATCTGGAAAGGGCTTTTCTTCTCTTTTTTTTTTCTTAACCTCACCTCGGCGGCCAGAGCAGCAAAGACGACCAGAAACAGGAAAGACCAACGCAAAGAGCAAGGACCAATACGACAGAATGACCAACACGAAGAGCATCCCTTCCCTCCCGAGGCATGAAGGAGGGCACGCTCCGGATTCCCCGGGCTCTCCGGGATTCCCCGGGCTCTCCCCCCGCTCCCAGCTCCTCACCCACGCTGCCGGCCAGGTCCGTCAGGACATCGTCGCGCCCCAAGCGGCGCAGCACATCGAGGAGCTGCCCCACGGTGGCCCCGCCGGGGCAGCGTCCCGGCCATTCCTCCAGCAGCGTGGCCGTAGGGTCGGGCAGCCCCTCGAGCCGCCGGATCTCCAGGAAGCTGCAGCCCAGCGCCTCCGCCAGCGCCGTCCAGTCCGCGGCCGCGGCCGCCCGCGGGTTGAGGTAGAGGCCGAGGCGGCGGCGCACGCCGTAGTTCAGCGCTACCATGGGCACGGCGTGGGGGTCCAGCGGCGGGACGGGGCTGGAAATGGGGCTGGGGCTGGCAGAGGGCTCCGATGGGGACGTGGCCATGGCAGCGCCGCGCTCCCAACTTCCCCTTCCCGGCACTTTCGCTTCCCGGCTCGCCCCGCCTCTCCGCCGCCCCCGCGGGGCTCTCTCTGCCCGCCCTCCCTTCACGGCGCGGGGCTCCCTCTCTGCCCGCCCGCCCGCTCTCCCTCATGGTGCGGAGCTCTCTCTGCCCGCTCTCCCTGCCTCCCTCACGGTGCGGGGCTCTCGCTGCCCTCCCGCCCTCACGGTGCGGGGCCGGACGGGTCGGTATCGGGACGGTGTGGGAGCAGGAGCAGGGCAGTGATGGTTCTCCTGTGCTCCGCACCTCGAGTGCTGTGCCCGGCTCTGGGCTCAAATCAGGAAGGGCATTCAGGGAGTGGAGAGGGTCCAGAGAAGGGAATGGAGCTGGGGAATGGTCTGAAGGACATATCCTATACAGACTGGCCAAGGGAGCTGGGGGTGTTTAATCTGGGGAAAAGGAAGCCAGGGGGATCCATTTTCACCCTCTAAAACTCCCTCCTGACAGGAGGTTGTAGGCAGGTGTGGGCCGGCCTCTTCTCCCAGGCAATAAATGATAGGGCAGGATGACTTAAACTGTGCTGCGTAAGTTCAGGTTGGACATCAGGAAGAATTTCTTCCCAGAAAGGATGACTACATTGGAATGGGCTTCCTCAGAGAGGTGGTGGGATCACCATTCCCAGAGCTGTTAAGGAAAAAGACTAGATGTGACACTCAGTTGAGATGGGGATGCTGGGTCACAGGTTGGACTCGATGATCTCAGAGGACTTTTCCAAAAAACTGATTGTGTGGTTCTCCTGCTGGGCTTTGTCCAAACGTAGTGCCCTGCCCTCTGGAGTGGCCTGGACAGGGATCTGTGCTGTGTGAGACACTTATGCCAGAGAGAACAATGCTGTCACTAAAGCTGTTTCACACTATTCCACCCCAAATCACCTTGGCTACATTCTTGCCCTCCTGCCCAGACCCCTAATACAACAAATGGTAGAATTGTTAATGTGGCCCTGACAGGGCTTATGTTCAAAATCACTTGGTTTTTCTGCTTTTGGCACAACAACTTGCTCATGTATTCAATGTCTGTTTATTTCTCACCCAGACCTGAACCCATCAACCCAGAGCATTCAGAGACTTTACAGTATTGCAGTTATTCTTTACAGAACAGTCCCACTGGACCTCTAGTAGCAATAAATCCAGAACCACGTCCCATCTTTGGTGGTCTAAGTGTTCAGATCTGGGCTCCCCTCATGATGACAATGCTCCATGACAGCACAAATATGGCCATCTCCAAATTCCCAAACTCTTCCAGCAAGTACAACATTCTGCATAAAAATAAAATCCTAAAATCGGTTAAGGATCCATTTCAAACTGGTTTTGATGCCAAGTACAAAACACAATTCTTGGCTATGAACTGAACATTTTTCAGCTTCCAGGATGGTACCAAAAACAAAGGGTACTGCAAGGAAATTTCCAAGAGGAACACAGTGCTTCTCCAAAATACTGCAGGAGACACAGTAAAAAAACATCCCCTGCAGTCTCTATCTGTGGAGCTCTGTGGAAATGAGGAAGATAAAATATTCCAGTAGCAAAACTGCTAATTGCACAACGATTGGTGGGTTTAAAACTTTAAGAAATCAAAAATAAGCATTAGAAGTTTCAGTTCTGACTGAAAACACCTGCCACATAAACCACTGGCTCCAGATAGTAAGGAGAGGTGCTAATACACAACCTCCAAACACCCACACCCAGCAAGTGTCCCTGGGAACACCACACAGGCAGATCCTGTGTTATTTTACCATGCCAAACTTGTATCTTTGGCTTGTTCAAGGTGATTAACCATTATCCAGGCACCCTCAGCAGCAAAGCCTCCTGCTGAGCACTCCTTCAGCCTTCAGCAAGCATCCTTCTTGCGAGAGAAGTAAAAATCTATCCCTCTGTCCTTGTGCTGTGCTGGTCCCCTCTTGTTGCCCCTGGGATGGGGACTTCCTCCCTGTGGCAAATGACAAGGAATAGTGAGATATTTACTGATGCTGCAGAGTGGTCACAAAGCAGTGCTGATATCCAGGAGAATGTGCACATGGAACTTCTGCCTCCCAAGTTCACTCAAAAAGGCAGGAAGGCCTGACAGGCACTGCTCTAGGCTGGGATTTAGGAAAGCAGGGTTTCTGGTAAGGTGAGCTAGGAAAGCTGATCAAAATTGAACTTTTGTCTGACAGAGGAGGTTTTTGGCTTTAATTTCATCACTGCCTCAAACTGGTGTCTCACCAAGGTGCTCCTGCAGAGTCCTTTCTCTCATCCCAGGAGGTTACTAATCCAGGCCCTCCAACAGCATGGGTAAAGCAGAAGGCTTTGTTTCCACAAAACCTTCCACTCATGGCAAAGGAATCTGGCCTAAAAATTTGGTACTGCACCTTAGGATTAAAAACTGAAATGGTGGCACGTTTCATTCTTCACTGACTTGGTGCAGTCCCTAAATTTGAGCCTCCACAAAGTATCCTCACTCAGGAGGAGGCAGGGTGGATGTGTGGGGGAAAGGCAAAATGCTGAACACTTATACACAACCTTTGGTTATATCCATTTCCTTCCACACCCACATCCTCCCAGGCAGCAGATAAAAGCCTTGACATGCTGCAGGATCAACAACTCATTCTGCCCCCATTTTAAAGAGAAGATACACTCAAAAATCAAAGTGCAAGGAGCAGTCCCCATATTTACAGGTCTGGCTGACTCCAGTTTGGACACACTCAAGCAGAAGTTGGTTGTTCTTACTTCCACCTCCTGAACAGAAAGGACAGAACAATCCAGAAAAACTGAGGTGTTTCTCTTCTCTCCACCTGTATTGGAGGTGGTCACATCAGTGGAGGTCCTGGAGAAACCCTGTCCCTCTGGTGGGGCTGCCAGGGATGCTCAGAAGGACATGCTGTGGCTAAGCCCTGCTGCCTATACAAGGGACAAAGAAGCAGCAAAAATTTAAATCACAGAAAAATGAGGTTGGAAGAGACCTCTAAGATCATCAAGTCCAACCTATGCCCTAACACCTCACCTAGACTGTAGCACCAAGTGCCATGTCCAGTCTTTTTTTAAACACATCCAGAGATGGTGATTCTACCACCTCCCTGGGAAGAGCATCCCACTACTTTATTATTCTTTTGATGAAAAACTTCTTCCTAATATCCAACCTACACCTTCCCTGACATAGCTTGAGACTGGGAAGGTATAGGTTGGATATTAGGAAAAACTTCACCACAGTGGGTAGGACAGAGAGCTAAATAATCCTGGCTACACAGTCCCTGCTGTGATGCAATGTGAGCTTGCATTAAAAGAACTTTTTTCCCTTTAAACCTGAGAGAGAAGAGCAGAACTCAGAGTGATGCAGAGCAGCCCCTGGAGCCTCCCAGCCCATCCCAGCCCTCCCAGTACTCACAGGACTCTGGTGGATGTGTCGGCTCCACTCTGGGGCTGTCACCACGGGCTGTGGGTAGGTCTCACCCAGAGTTACTCCTGCCTGGGAGAGAGCAGCACTGCTCAGTGCCCAGGGGGTGTGGATGTCTGCTCCCTTTATGCCCTGCAGCTCTGGCACCCACAGCCTGACATAATCCCCCTGCAAACAGAACCAACAGGACAGGATCCATTCAGTGACAATCTCTAAGTGCTTCCCAGCAAGGCTCTTTCTCAATGGGCAAGAGAGCAGCCAGATTTCCAGGCATAGCCCCATTTGCTAAATCCTCCATCCAGAGTTAGTGCCTAAAGAGAGACCTGGAGCTCTTCTCCCATGCTCACACTGCAGGCACAGGAGGGAGGCAGAGGTTTTCATTTTCAGCACTGTTCATCTGTCCTGTTTAGGACATCCTGAAATGAAGTCACCCCCAAGAAGTTTCCTGTGACTGAAGGAAAATAGGATGGCTAGCTCAGCTGCACACTCTTGTACTCCTAATCTCTCCTATTAACTCTACTGTTGTGCCCTCTACTAGGACTAATTTCTGATTTCTTGTTAAATCTTGCCAGCTACAGTGCCAAAAGGCAACAGCACAGCCTGATGTGAAGCTAAGGAATAGTGTGGAAACAGGGAATGCAGTTTGGCTAAGCACATGGAAAGTATCAGTGCTACAATGCCCAATGGGCAGGAAGAATGAGATGTAGAACTTCATGATATTAGAAGGCTAATTAATTACTTTATTATACTAAAACTATATTACACTATATCACACTAACAAGAACTACCACCAACTAGAAAACCTGTGATTCTCTGCCTGAGTCCTGACACACACAGACACACACACACACACACACCACACACACGTGGATTCAATTAGTCAACAAATCCAAAACATCGTCATCAGAATCCAATCAAGCAATCACCTCAGGTAAACAATCTCCAGAACACATCCCACATGGGCACAAACACAGGAGCAGCAAATGAGATAAGAATTATTTTTAATATTCTTTTCTCTGCTTCTCTCTCAGCTTCTCTCAGGAAAATCCTGAGAAAGCTAAATCTCTCTCTGTTTAGAGGACATGTGAATACCACAAAAAAGGGCAATTTATCTGCAATTTCAGAGAGGACAGTCAGAGGAGTGATAGGTTTAATCTACTCTTCAGCACCTCTCAAGGAATGGTTCTGTCTCTCAGGTAACTCCTGAGTTCTCCAAGCAGCTGCTCCACGCTCAGGGAAGCATCTGTGTCATGTTCTGATGGGATGTGGCTGTGCTTGGAAGAAATGGTGATGAAACACTTGACACACTGACCAGGGAGGGTGTGGGGACATCCCTGGGGACAGCAGCAGGTTGTTAAATTACATTGTCCTGTACACACCAAGGAACCTGCCCGACTGCTGGCCAGGAGACACAAGAACTGGTTTTGCATCCACACAGCACATTGATCTCCTCTGCTCCCTGAAACAGCACGTGTCCTTGCCTGCCCTCACCCCTGCAAAGCAGCCACCCAAGACTCACATTCCCATCGTAATCCAGGCCTTGTTTGATCATGTTAAACTTCCTGTTCTCCCGTGGGTCGTTGCCAATGCCAGCGCTGTATAACCAGTTGCCATAATTGCTGCAAACATCATAATCCACCTTGAGAACAGAGGGAGAAAACTGTCAGAAGAGCTGGGCTGGCCCTTGGTCAATCTTCTCATCCATTCCTTAGCTCAGGGGGAAAATTCCTTGCATGGGATTCACTCCAGCCAGACTGGGGTGGTCAGAGCTCCCCCATGCTGGTACAGGCATCTGGCTCAGGAAAGGACCTGCATGGCTGCTTTTTAGCCTGGGATCAGCTTCCCAGACTACTTCAGATCATGATCCTTAGGTCAGAAAACACATAATACTCCAACTAAAGTCCTTCCCAGTTTACTTCCTTTTAAAGGAAAATCCTTCTCTTTCTGCCACAATTTGGCAGACTTCACAAGTAGCCACAGCATTTGAATGCTCATATTCCAAAACAAAGTATTCAAATATGAGAGAAAATTCTTTCTGACCAGTTACCCAGACACCACACATTGCCAAACCATCTCTGCTGATCCTACTAGGCAGTTTGGAGAGAAGTCTAACTCAGACTGTGCAGACAAACCACACAGTTTATATGAGGATGCAAACAATACAAACACTGCAGGTTTTCTCCCATTGTCAAGTTATTCCTTCTCTAAACAAATAAAAACTCTCAAGGATGCTTATATAAAATGGAGCAGGGCTTTTGAAACAAGCAGAAGATGATCCTATCTGAGCGCTCTTCAGCTGGGCAGGGTGGCTTAAATCCAACATCAGAAGTTTTCCAGTTGTAGGACAATCCAAACCCTGCTCAGGAGGGGAGTGGAAGTGATAGCAAGGAGGGTTTGGGATCTCTGAGCATTCCTAGGGATGTCTGTGCTGCAAAAGCAGCAGCTGTGACAAAAAGAGTTGGTTCAGTGCTGTTCTCTTCTCCCTTTACTGCAGCCACAACAGCAACCAGTCCACAGAGAGATGTTTCCAAGATCTCAGCCTCTCCTTGGAGTGAGGAGCTCAATGCTCCAGGATGGCAGAAGGCTCATGGAATGGGCTCGGCCAGGCTGCCCTTTCTCTGCAGAGCCAGTGAGTGCTGGGGTCAGGGTGAGCAGCCAGCTCTGCTCCCTGTGCACCAGGCTTCCCCTTCCCGGCTCACTTCCTCCAGCTGGTGAGATAAGGAGGGGAGAAAGATGCCATTGGAGGCCTGATTGTGTGATTAACACGCAGGAAAGCCTGTGTGGGAGGTGAGGGCAAATCCAAGGGGGCCTGGAGGAGGCAGGCTCATTTCCCCCTCAGCCTTGCCCCTTCCTGGCATTCTCTTCTGTTTGTTTCTCTGCCTTTCCTTGGGGCCTGACCCTGGGAATGAAATCGATGAAGTCAGAGCTGAGATATTCTCAGTTCAGGACACCAGTGGTCTCTGGCCTTTCCCCTGGCTCCAGCAGGCTGCAGAGAGCTCGTGCCTCAGTTTCTCTGCCTGTGTGCTGTGGATGGCACACACAAACACTTGGTGGGCCTTTGCTGGCAGTACTGGAGATGAAACAGGCATTGCTTTCCTTTTTTCAGAGGCAAGTGACACCAGTTTCAGTTCTGTACTGGCCTCTACCTTCTACAGGCATGTGTCCCCACCAAGCTGATGTCACCTCTGTGCTGCTCTGGGGATGCCACCAGAGCTGTGTGACACAAGATGGGACCAAAGAACACAAGGATCAGCCTGTGCCACACCAACTTACAGTGGCCATCAGCACCTGGGGCTTCCCTTGGTGAAAGGGTCAGTGCAGTGTTAAATTCTGCTTCAGCAAGGCTGGTATTCATGTCCTTAGGAATAAATACAGATAACACAGGCAGCATCTTTCTAGAGTGAGACCTTCCAGGTCTTCCTCACTTGTGCAATAGGACACACTTGTGGAAGGCTCTTGGTCTTATCTGGAAAAGCATCACTGCATGGAGCTCCCCAAACCCCCTTCTGGAGGATCCTGAAGCCCTGCACTGTGTTGTTGTCCAAGCCCACAGCTGCTCACAGCACTGGTATGGGAGAGCACCCCGATTTTCTTCCTGCAGCCAAAGCCATGTCAGAGCCCAGCTCCAAGGAAGTTTTAAAAAAAATACATTCACAAAAAAATCTCTTTTAACTGCAGATATTGGCAAGGCAACTGGGCTTTCTCTGCCCATCCAGCACTCCAAGTGAGTGGGAAGTTTTCTGATTTGCAGTTGCCTCCTGTATCCCACAGATAAGACCTTTAATGTGAGCCTGATGTGAATATTTGGCCTTTTTCAGTCAGTACCATGAGAATCCATGGGGACTGGGGTCAGAAAAGTGACCCAGCCATTTAACTGAGCTCACACAGCTGCTGATGGATATATGAAAGGAACTGGTGCTCCAGTTGGCAGGGAGGCCTGCAACAGTCCAGAATGAAGAAGGATGCCTCCAGCCAGGGTGGAGCTCAGTGGAAGCTGATCCAGCCATTGTCCCTGCTTGCCTGTGCTTGTCTAGCTGGCTCCCAGTCCACAGCCAGCAATGCACAGACACTGTGCCAGCACACACTGCTTTCCATGTTCTATTTCTGGGCTGCCCTCCTCCCCAGCCTCTGGGCTGAGCAAATCAGAGCATTGTCAACATAATTCATGTTTGAAAGTTTTGTCAAGTGCAACAGACCTCTGGCTAAAACCCTGCACAGGGGATCAAAGCTTACTGCAAACCTCCTAGCTGCATTTTTGTTGGTGGCAGCTCCAGTGTGGCAAAATTCGTTTTACTTAGGTGAGCTTTGGGAAGCTCACACCCTGCAAAAAGTATCTACAGTAAAAGTATCAGCCTGAAAATTATTCATCATCACCTGTACCCTTTCTTATAAATCAGGGCTGTCCTCCTGCCTGTCATTAAACTCATTAAAGGGCCCAGTCTTACCAGCAGGTATTCAAACCATTCTGCCCCCATCCTCCAGTCCAGCCCCAGGTCCTTGGTGAGGAAGCTGGCGACGTTCTGCCGCCCTCTGTTCGACATGAAGCCCGTGGCACTCAGCTCCCTCATGTTGGCATCCACAAAAGGAACCCCAGTTCTGCCCTCTGCAGAGACAAAATACAGCACTGGGGTATCAGGATGCTTTTGGGCACTCATAAACCAGCCTGTGCTCATGTATTCACAGCCATTTCCACAACAGTGCCAGGGCACAGCAGCAGGGAGAGATTTCAGTGTGGTTTAGCTGGAGTGCGGCCACTAAGATGCACTGGAAATTAAATTAATACTGAAAATTAATCTGGGGAGTTAAGTTTTGGCAAGAAGAAAAAAGACAAGTACAGAAAAATCTCGGACTGGAAAAACAATCAGGTGGGTTGCAGGGAATTTTGCAGAGTAAAATAAATATGCAGACAATAGTGAGATGGGCCAAGAACAGAAAGATTCTTGACAGGATGTACTGGACAAATCCCCCAGGGTTAGTACCTGAAAAGGAGAGTTTGTCTGTTGTTAAGGAAAAGATTTACTGTGCCTGGATGATTTATTTTATCCTGTGTGCAAATGGGTACACGTGGCATTAACACAAGATACAGAGGTGGGTACTGCACTGATTCTAACACTTTAATCTGTTTGTCCCTCCAAGTCTTGAGATATTATGCCTGCTATTCATGTTACAGCAACAAAGTTGTAACAGCTCAAGAAAAAGCTGTGGGATTACTAAACATGACTTAGACTTAGTCTAAATCTGTTTTAACCTTGTAATCAAAAGCAAACAGAACCAAACATAGCAGGCATGGCAAGCTAATATTGATAAGAAGGGCTGGTCAGCCTCTGTGTGACTAAACAGAAGGGAACAGCAGGTCACAAACACTCCCTCCTGGGCAGCAAAATCTCCCTGCAGTGCACCTCACAAAGCAGGGTCACCCTGTGGGCTGCTCAGTGTCAGTCTGGGAAGGGAAGCCACACACATTCATACCCTGGTGATGCCAGTTTGAATGCCAGCCCTGGCCATGCTGGCAGCTCCCCTACAGAGACCTGATCAGGGTTAGGGCACTGTGAGCCCCAACAGACAGCTGGAGAGCAAAACACAGCCAGCCAAACCTGAGGTTCCTACTGACCTTTCCAACAGCTGAAGAGCTGAAGGTCCTTCTTCCAGGGGATCTCTTTACTTTGAAGCCCTGTGGAGGAAAATAATGACCTGCTGATGGAGAAATACTGACACAGGCAGTTACTCAGACCACAGCACAGCCAGGGGAGCTTGGTTGACACAAGGAGTGAGGGTGAAGCCTCTCAGTGCCATCACAAACAAACCTTCTGCACAGGTTTAGAGATGATCCATTCCCCCTCTCCAGTGTTGCAAAGGGGTGTCTTTTGCACACAGAGAGTGCTCAAGCCCTATTAGATATTGTTTATTTGTTTTGCTGATGTTTGCTTTTCTTTCCTTTTTTAATTAAAAATGACTCAGACCTCACAAGTGGAGATGTGCTCTGGCCCATGCTGTTATTTTCTTTTTCAGCTTTACTCCAGGACAAAGTTTATGTGAAATCTGTTTCTGTAGCAGGTACTACACCCAGAATTACCTGGCAGAAGCCTCAGGTAACACTTTGCCCCTGCAAATGGAATAGGAACAGATGAGAGGAATGATTTCATGTTTGCAGGATGCAGTGGCAATTACAGCCTTCTGTGCAATGCAGCAGAGGCAGCAGGGACAACTCAGTTCTAGCTACAAACATTCCAGATCAGGCCCCCACTGGCACCCAGTGCCATCAGAACAGCCACACAGGCCTGGCAGATGCGACACAGACCCTGAGGGAGATGTGTCCCTCTGGATGCCAGGCAGGCTGCCCTGGAGCATCTGAGCCAGGGCTGCATCCCCTGCAGAGCAGCTCCCCCAGCACAGACATCACCTGCAGGGTCTCCTGACACAGGGACTGGGTATTTGTTGTGTACTGAGTGCTCAGATCCCATTTCACAGGCACACTCCTGTCACTGGGGCTGGAGCCAGATCTCAGTCTGATTCCTATGTAGTGCAGTATCTGGTTTCTTGGGATTCACCCTGCTGGGTCAGTTCCTGCTCTGCCCCAGGTCCTCTGGAGAACCCAGGCAAGCCTGAGGCCTGGATTCTGCTGAAAGGAGGAATGTGTCTGGAAACAGCATCTTCACTCTCCTTGTGCTGCTGTTTCCCACAAATAATACTAAAAAATAATACTAGAAAATAATACTGTCAATAATACTCCCTGCACCTAATCAGATTTGAGGATCAGTGTCCAGCGCCGTGGTGCTGAGGCACTTCTGTGCTAACAGAGAGTTCCCAGCAGCACCCCAGGGTGGTGACACAAGCACCATGAGAAGAACACTTGTACAACTTAATGCCAACAGCTATTGTATTTGTTGGGAATGCCCCAGTGAAGGCAGGAGTGATGAATCTGACTCCATGTTCTCAGAAGGCTAATTTATTACTTTATGATACTATATTATATTAAAGAATACTATAATAACTATACTAAAGAATACAGAAAGGATACTTACTAAATGCTATAAAGATAATAATGAAAACTCGTGACTCTTTCTAGAGTCCTGACACAGCTTGGCCCTGACTGGCCAAAGAGTGAAAACAACTCACAGCAGAATCCAATGGAACAATCACCTGTGGGTAAACAATCTCCAAACACATTCCATATGAGCACAACACAGGAGAAGCAAATGAGATAAGAATTGTTTTCCTTTTCTCTGAGCTCCTCAGCTTCCCAGGAAAAAATCCTGGGTGAAGGGATTTTTCAGAGAATGTGAATGCTACAAACAGGCTCTTCTCTTACTTTCCCTGTTGCAAGAGAGGACCTGACCCTCCTAAATGTGGTGATCCATACACACCTCTTAATGAGAAAATCCTTCTGCCATACTTCAGGGCTACAAACCGAAAGTAATCCCTCCACAGCAGTTCAAACAGGACCCTGAAACACAAAACCATCTCAGTATTTCACTATAGCTCAGCTTTGATAACTGAACAAGGATTTTCCTTCCATACAACCCACCATTAACACTGTGGAGTTTATTCACAACAAGGTTATTGTAACAGGATATCCCCTGTGGCAGGGAGAAATGATGATAATATAGTGTATATATATACACTTTTTATATATATAGTATGTATATATAATATATATAGTATATGTATATATAGTGTATATATATATATACTTTATTATACTATATTCTATATATATATTATTCTATACTGTATTACACTATATTACATTACATCTAAACTGAATCTGCCAAGCACTCCACTCTGCACACACTGCCCAGAATCTCGTGACTGTCACTGACAGTCCCAACTCACACACACACACCTGGCCCTGACAGGCCATGGAACAAAGCACCATCACTCTGGGTAAACAGTCTCCACATTGCATTCTACTTTGGCACAAACACAGGCACAGCAAATGATAAGAATTGTTTTTCCTTTCTCTGAGGTTCAGAGAATGTGAAACCCAGAAATGTTCTTGGGAAGAACTGTGCCTTGCTTTTCGCTGGGAAGAGAAATGTGGTGACACAAGGGATTTCAGGGATCTTCCCTGTGACAGCAGTTCTCTCCCCAAGCCTGTTTGCCTGGCTTACAGGGAAAGCAAACTGCATGAATCACTTGGGAAGCTTTCCTTAGCTCACGTGCAGGAGCAGTTTCAGGAAACATGTTCCTCCTCCATCCCTGCTGGGGTGTAATTCTCCCCAGAGCAGGGCGAGGGCCTGACTGAGCTTCACACTTCCACAGGAACGAGCACATCAGCACATTCCTGAGAGCTTTGTGTTGATCTATTTGTGTTGATTTAAGCAATTACCTTGGCAAGGGACTCTAAGACACCTTTCAAAACTGGTTTACAGTGCTCCAGCCCATTAGATCAGGTGCTAGGCCCGTGGAAAAAAAGGACAGTTTTATATAACATCTTCTATATAAAAAGAGCTTCTTATAAAATGATGGCACATCAACCTCAGAAACCTGCTTCAACTCTATGCCATATGGGAAGCTCTCTGCTCAGCTGATTTTTAGGCTGACAAGATCCTTCTGGATAATCTGGTTACAGAACAGAATCACAGAATTAGGGAATCAGTTAGGGTGGAAAAGACCTCTGAGACCATCCAGGCCCATCTCTGACCAAACACCACGGTGTCAACCAGACCATGGCACCAAATCCAGTCTTTCCTTAAATACCTGCAGGGACTCCACCACTTCCCTGGGAAATCCACTCCCATGTCTAATCATCCTTTCAGAGAAGAAATTCCTCCTAAAGTCCAACATGAACAGGACACTGTCCAAATCCTAAAAAACAGTGTCATAACACTGAGGTTCAATGTGCAGCCACCATGACCTGTACTTCATTGTACAATTGACTTCCTGGGAGCTTGACAGCTTCATTTTTGTAATTACTGAACACTTTAAAATGCTAAAATCACCATGGCATGCCAGCTGTCAGCAGGCTGGCTGACTGTAAGATGGAAAACAGGAGTATGTTCATTTCTTGAAATCTTTCCTCTCTTAACTGTCTTTGAAGTAAAAAAAAAAAAAACCCAAACATACACTTCATGGGTGTTGATATTTTATCTGTAATTTGAATTTTAATGAAACTGAGCATTTTGGCCAGAATGGCTGGCAGTGTTCTGCCTGTTCCTCACCAACCACTGTGCTGTTTGACATGTTGCAAATGTCACAAACCAAAATGAATATTTAGTTTTAGAGTTTGCACAGACGTTATAGTTTGGGATTTTTCCCATCCAGGTCTAGTGTCAGGCCAGGCTCTACCTGTTTCTACCATGACCCTGTTTCATTATCAGAGCTCCAGGTGTCGCAGACATTTTTTCATAGAAATCCTTTCTTTGGGATTTGTTCATCTTCTGGGAAGCTGAGGCCCCAGAAGAAGAATGTAAACAATTGTTATCGGCTGGTGTGGAATGCAACAGGTGCAGCGGTGATTGGGCTTCTGTGAGTGTTTGGATTTGCTGACCACTCACAGAAAGAGTTTGTCCTTGCTTTCTGCTGGACACAGAACTTTGTTATTCTTCTTTTCTATGCTATTCTTAGCTTAGCAGCCTCTGCAACTTCTCTCCTTATTCTTTTTAGTATAGTTATAATGTATTATATATCATATATCAATAAATCTAGCCTTCTGATCATCAAACAAGATTCTCATCCTTCTCTCACCCTGGAAGACCTCATCAGGTCGCTGTAATACTCCAGGTTCTGATTCACAGTGTCTGGGCAGAGCTGAACAAGTTCAAGGCCAGCCCAGGGAAGGATGAACTGAGAGGTGAGGAAGAGCATGGGTGACAGGAGGGGATGAATTAAACCCAGATCCCAGCGCCCTCTTCCCCTCTGCTCTGATGTGGTGGTCATGGACAGGCAGCTGAGCAAACACAGGGCCACTTGCTGGACTTGTGGCCATGGGACCTTCAAACACCATGAGATTTACACAAATCACAGTCACTGAGACTTTTGGGCTCATTTCCTCACTCTGAGAAACCCTTTGGCTTTTATTTGTAAATATTCCTCCTTCTCATTCAGCCCATAAGAACACAGAGATGGATGGTGCTGATTTGCTGAGATTATGTTCAAAAATCATGAACCAAGATTTCCCAGCAATAATAATGACAACTGGCATTCATAATCTTTACTTACAAAGTATCACCTGAAGCCCCTGGGTGTCAAAGACAGACTAATAAATCTGTACTGAAAGAGAACTACAGTGCAACCCAGAGGAACCAGCCAGCAGGCACAGGAAAAACAAGCATTAATTACAAAGAGTTAACAAATCACTCTCCTGTGCATGAAATACCAGGTTCCTTTTCAGAGGAAACAAGCCATGCTGATGGTGCAAAGACATACCAGTATGTGCTCTGATTTGCTGTTCTCTCTCTCTCATACTTCTGGATCTGCTCATAGATGTATCGAGGCGAGATGCAGCCCAGTGCCAGCCTGAAAGCAGAGGAATGATGTCCTGAATGCCACACAGCACTGACAGCTTGGTGTCAGCTCAGAGGGAGCAGAGGGGCAGTTTTGTGCCTAAAGTTGTTGTCTAAAAATTTTGTTCAGCTTGCAGTGCTGCCCCTGACTTCCTAAATGGCTTTAGTCAAGTTGTAACTTCTCTGCAACTCTTCAAGAGAGAGAATTCCCTTCCAAGAATTAAGATCCTCTCCTTCCTGGAGTATGACTCTTACAGGAGTGTCCAAGCTATGGAGATAAATCATTTCAAGCTATGGAGATAAATCACTTTGCTCAAGTTTGACAAGTTTTGCCTAAATGATTTAACAAACCCAATGACACACCCAGAAAAGAATCTCAAATGTCAACCTCTGCCTCACATGTTCTACCTGCCCTTTTGCCACAAACCCCCTGATCCTATGCCCAGGGCTCCTTTTCCTGCAGAACCTCAGTGGCTCATTTGAGCAACCACACAAGGTTAAGTGACTGCTGAAAATCTGAGCCCTGGCAGGAAAACTAGGGAATAAAAGTCTGCTCTGGCATTTCAACCCCCTGGGCTCTTCCATTTGTTCCAAATCAGCGCTGTTGCAAGACAGGAAAGAACTTGCAGACTCCAACCCCATCATACAGGGTGATCAAGAACAGATTTTACCTTGCTTTTCCTAGAAATGCATTTTACTGCCATTTCCACCACAGCTTGTGGAAACACTGGATGTTCTAATGAATTGTGGAAAACAGAAAGAAAGACTTTGAGGAGTTTTCCTTTATTTGCTGACCAGCTCTAAAGGCCAACATGATATGGGAATGACTGGCTGCAACCTGAACTGCTCTGATGTTGATTATGTGACAGAGGGACATTTTGGGGCAGGCAGATCAGAACTGTTTGCTCTGAGCAAATGGCCAGCTTGGAAAAATTCAGGTGGAGACCACAAATAACAAACTTCCACAGAGCCAGCAGTCCTGGGATCCCAAAGTGCCACCAGATGGAGCCATCCACTGCAACCATCACAGCACAAAGCTCAGAAACGAAATCCCAACCTGTAACAGCCTCTGAAATTTGCTTCTCATTGCAATTCTGTTGGGAGAATCCAGATGCTCTCAGTTTAGGCTGAACTGGGCTCTGCTGCTGCTTCAGTTCCAATCTGGAATTAACTCTGCCTCTTCCAGCACCAGGGACTAAAGCCCCTAATTAAAAATCAAAATATTTACCCACACAAAAGATCTTTTCCTACAGGAATAATCAGAAGTGTCTCTTCACTCTGCAGAATGGCAGTGAGGTGGGGTGACCTGCCCCAAACTATTCAGGGAACCAGTATTAGGCTGAAGCTGTGCTGCCTCCCTGCCTTTCCCTTCCCACACAAAGCAGCAAGAAGGCAAATGGTGAGTCCCTCCTGCTCCCTGTCCCCTCCGTGCTCCCAGCACAGTTCTGCCTCACTGCAGCAGTTCCAGGGAAGTGCAGCCTCAGAGCTGCTCTACCACCATAAAAAGGGCCAAAGGAACCACACCTAGACCCCTACCCATGCCCAGCAGCACTCAGCAGACAGGTAACACCTGTTTGGGATGGAAGCAGAAAAGGATTTTCCAGTCTCAACAAAAATCTTTACCATGGTGCCAATTTTGTGGAGTAATCCATCCCCACCAGCCCATTCCGAGTCTCCTTGTAAGAAGCAACCAGATTCTGTGAGAGCAAAAGAACAAAAGGTTTCAATACTTCACAAGCAACCTGCTAAATGTTCTTTCCTTCTGCAGCCAGAGCAATCTGGCAGGGCTGGGCTCCCTCTCACGGCTGCCTGCAAGGATTGCACAGCTGCCAATTCCTGCCCCCAGCACACAGGCAGGAATCAGGCCAGCAATTTCATTCCAGCTCTGGGGTGTGTCACAAGCTGTGCTCCCTGCTCCAGCCTACAGCACCTTTCTATCCACAAGCACTGTGCACCTGGCTGTGCTGCTCCCTGCCCAGCCCCACCTGATTCTGCATCAGAAACCCACTGAAAAGCACCAGTGGAACTGGGAGCCTTGTGGCTGCTTGTTTGGGGGTTATAAAACCAGTGGGACTGTCACTCTTACAATAAAAAGTTTTTATTTTTTGTGTTTTCTACCTTGTATACTCTTAATAAAGTGTAATTTTAAGTCATTAACTACATTACAATAATTTATTATATTTACTGGTGCAAAACAGTTAGTGTTAATATAATTAGTAAAAGTTTTACAAAAATTTAATAAACCACATATACAGATCTACTTATACACATAGCCTAGCTTACAAAAAATTTTATGTATCTTTCCTAATCTAGTCTCATGCTAACAACCTTGTATTTTTCATTGCTATAGATACATTCAAAAATCAATTGTTATTTCTTCTATTAACTCAACTTCACTTACAAACCAACTATGAAACCCCTCCACATGTGATAGCCCCCAGCACTCAGCTGCAGGAACTCTGACCACTGTTGTTTCTGTGCCCCACACATTTACAGCAGGAGGCAGATCTTCCATGTTCTGAGCACTCCATGGACAATGCAGAGGACATAGGGAAGACCAATCTCTCCTTGATCACCTTCACTGCACAGGTTACAACTGCTAAAGGGCTGTTGTAGCTCAATATTTGCATTACAAAGAAAGAAGGAACAGGTTTTCCAGCTCTGATTATATAAATGCTCGACCAAGAGCAAAAGCTATGCCCACTTGTACTAATTTTGGTTGGGATGGAGTTAATTTTCTCCATTGCAGCTAATCTGGGGTTGTTTTGGATTTGTGCTGAAAACAGTGCAGAGAGCACACCAATGTTTGGCTTTCTGCTGAGCAGAGCTCACACAGCCTCAAGGCCTTTTCTGCTTCTCTCACCACCCCACCCTTAATAGGCTGGGGGTGCACAAGGATTTGGAAGAGGACACAGCTGGGACAGCCGACCCCAGCTGACCCAAGGGTGTTTTAGACCATATGATGTCATGCTCAGCACATAAAGCTGGAAGTCAGGATGTTTGGAGTGATGCCATCTGTCTTCCAAAGTAACTGTGATGGAGCCCTGATTTCCTGGGGATGGCTGAACACCTGCCCACCGGTGGGAAGAATTAAATGAATCCTCACCTTGCTTTGCCTGTGCACACAGCTTTTGCTTTCCCTATTAAATGGTCTTGAACTCAACATTACAGTGACTTTTCTCACTTTAATCCTTCTGAATCTCTCCTCCATCTCACTGGCAGGAACTGAGGGAGCAGCTGCTGTAGGGGTGAGCTGCCTTTTGGGCTTAAACCAGGACAATGCTTCCCAAAAGCAAAGGAATGCAGGAATTTGGGAAACACAGCTGAAGGATGCCCTGGGGGCTGTCCCACACCACACTTTTAACCCATCTCAGCTGGAGAGGTGCTCCCTCCCTTTATCCAGAAAACTGCTTGGGGTCTGATGCTGCTGGAAATCAGCATATCTACCTTTGAATTCAGACATGGCAAATTTCAGACAGCTCCTCAAACTAGACCAGAAAGAAGTTAAAAAACTGACAAAATGCAGGCAGCAGGAGCTTCACTCCACCAAAGTAAGGAAACAAATAGTAGCTGTCATTATTGGCTACAAGATTTTAAACCAGACTACAGAAACCTCCTATTATTTATAACAGCAGGCAGAACTTGGGTCAGCTGCTCCTCACCCCAGTTGCAATTCCAGCTCTTCAGGCCACTTTTAACTCCTCCAAAACAGAGGAACTACATTGCTGATGATGTGGGACATTAGCATAGAAGGAACAAATCAAGGTAAAGCAGCTAAAAAATTTCGTCCCCAGTCCCAGAAGTTAATGGAAAAAATACTTGAGAGAGATGGCCAGTAAACTATTGGTTACATTCCCTAGTCCCAGATGACTTCTTTTTGGTCTAGTTTAGTCTCTATGAAAAACTGAAATAATGCTAATTCCCTCCTTGGTCAAGTTTTATATGGGAGCTGAGGAAATATTATTAGGAAGTGAAATTGCAGCCTCACCCACTTGCACAGCCATGTGTACAAGGGGGAGGATGTAGGCAAGGAAATGTAAGAGTTACCGTGTCCCAAAAATAATATTGCAGCCTCATCAAAGCCTGGGTCTCTCCTCCACTGCAGGGAAAGGCTGTTCTGGGATCAGTCACAGGATCTGCCACAGAAAACACCAACACCTTGTTACCCCCTGGGAAATTATCTCAAGGCAGGGAGCTTAAAATCCAGGGATGCTCAGCAGTGGGGATGTCTGCTGAAAGGGCATAAAAGATTGTGTGGTTTTCCTTTAAAATAAAGGGTCATATCAAACATATTAAAAATCACTAAGGATGTTTCCTACCCAGCTGCAGGGTAGGAAATTCCCATACAGGGATTTTACCTGTGTTTGCAGAGTGAACTGAGGCTTAAGGACAGTTTGAAGGGCAACCTCTGCCTGTGTTTTGGTTCTCAGCAAGAGACATATCACAGAATCACAGAATGGTTTGGGTTGGAAGGGACATTAAATCTCATCCAGATCCAACCTCCTGCCATGGACAGGGACACCTTCCACTATCGCAGGTTGCTCCAAGCCCTGTTCAGCCTGGCCTTGCACACCTCCACGGATGGCACATCCACAGCTGCTCTGGGCACCCTGTGCCAGGGTCACACCACCCTCACAGGGAAGAATTTCTTCCTCTCATCTAATCTAAATCTACTCTCTTTTAATTTGAAGACAAATATCTGCCTAACCCTGCAACTAAAGACAGATGCTTCTACAGCACCTCCCACACTGAAAAGGCCATGATAATCCAACCACCCTTAGGGACTACATTTCATGTATCTCTCAGGCACTAGCTGCCTCTGCATTTTTACAAAAATATATTTTTTCTGTGACAGAATATAATATGCACTGCAAGGTGTTTGGTTTAGGTACCTGATTCAGCCTGGCTGAACATCTGGGAATCTGGAGCAGCAGGAAATTATTCACTTTGTAAGCCACATTTTTCAAAACAGACCTAAGCAGGATATTTTTTAAGGACAGAATCTAAGTAAGATTTCATTAGAACAACTTCCAAATTAAGTTTCCTCACCCTTCTGCCCGAAATCCTCCATTGTAGGGATGCTCCCCTCTTGCAGCCCTGGAGCCAGGGGCTTTAGCTGATCCGGCATCCGCAGGGTTGGCCGGACCCTGGCCCCCGGATTCCAGAGCTTTTCTGAAGTGGGTGTAGACATCAGGCAACCTGCAGAGATGGGAGCAGCCAGGTCACTGCCCTGCACCCCCACACACCACACACCCCCTCCTCAGGAGCAGGATCAGCATTCCAGGCTGTCCTCTCACCTTTGTGATGCCCCTTTGAACACTGCCAGGCACAACAGGGAGATGCCCCCGGGGATAACAGCCACCAATTTCTTTCTGCTTCTGATGCAAATTGTGCCTTTTCAATTTAAGGTGTGCCCTGGTGGGGAAATCCGTGAGAGCCAGATTTATCTCACCTAACTTCTGATTAATACAGCTGATGTCAGTGTAAAAATCTACATCCTCCTGGTGCCTTTTCAGCCAAAGGAGAAAAACAGGCATTTTCATGGCCTGACTTGCCTGCCCTTATTATACACATTTTCTACAGAATACCATGAATCACTCAACTCCATCCACCACACTTCAGGTGACTACTGAGGGAGCAGTGAAGAGTACACACACATCAAGGAGGGGTTGGAAGTAAATAATCTCTTAAGTCCCTTCCAACCCAAACCATTTAATGGTTCTATAAAGTTGCTTCAGGTGAAGTTTAGATTGGATATTAGGAAAAGTTTCTTCACAGAAAGGGTGGTCAGGCTAGAACAAGCTGTCCAGGGAAGTGGTGGAGTCACTGTCCCTAGAGGATTTAAAAGATGTGCAGATGTGGCATTGAAGGACATGGTTTACTGGTGGGCTTGGCTTAGTTAATGGTTTGATTTGATGATCTTAAAGGTCTTTTTCAGCCCCTTAAAGAATGGTCACACACATTGGCTTTATACATACAGAAGCATAAATCCTACAGGTGCAGAGGGCTGAATGTGTTGCTTCCCCATTGTGTTCCTGAGCACAACAGCACTGCCCCATAAAAGTAGAAATAGATGGAATAATAGGTCCTTTCTCTGTGGGACCAGAGGACTGGGAGCCCTCCTGAGTGAGAAACACAAGGGACAGTGGAGGGGTGATAGCACAGAGCAGCCCACCTGTCAATAGGCCTGAAGGGGAGGTCATCCCGATGATACAGCGTGGAGCCCCAAAACGTCTGAACCTTCACCCCGTGCTGCCCACACACCTGGCACAGCCCCTTCTCCACATCCAGCTCCTCCTGCGTGGCCTAGGGAGAACAAAAGAATGAGGCCAGGGCTGCACAAATGCAGCTCAACATGCACAAACACTCTGGTCTTGCCCTCCTCATGCTTCTGCACATCACCTTCCTCCCTCTGCCCCATCGAGGACTCCCACGCCGGGAATCCCCATCCCAGGAACTACCCAAGGTTAACAACACCACAGCCAAGAAAGGCTCTGAACACACAGGATCTGCATCACCACTCGGTCGTGGAAGAAACCTTCATAGCATGATTTTATCTTTTAACTGTGTCACTGGAGTATTTCCCTTACCTCTTCATGGAAAACCACAGCAGTGACAGAGCCCAGCTGAGTAATCAGATCACAGACCACATCTTCTGGCTTCCCCTTCCTCACAACCAGGGTACTAAAATACAAAATACTGCCCTGAAATAGGTTTGATGTTATTGTTATTTATGTGCACAAGAGGTCATCATCCCAGCCCAGGCTCATGTCCTAGTTTTCTATGGAGCACAAACTGTGTGTGGGGGCAGACAGACAGGATTTGACCAGCCTGCATTTTTTAGGAGCCCCTGAACACAGTCTGTAAGCCTCTGGGGCTTAGTTTGTGTCAAACACATTTCTGCCACTCTGGATGCCTTGGAAAGGATGACTGGGCACAAAGCCAGGCTGTTACCTAAAAGTGAATCTGTTTATCCTCACACGCTAAAGGGATTCAAGGACTTGCTGATCCACCTTGTCCAAGTTTCTCAGAGAGGTTGTTCTATCCCTGGAAATATTCAAGATAAGGCTGAACAGGGCTCTGAACCTGATCTGGCTGAAGATGTCCCTTGCTCATTGAATGGGTTTGGACTAGATGGCCTTTAAAGTTCCCTTCCAACCTAAACTATTCTATGACTCCGTGATATTTTGCTCTGCAAAGCCAGATATTATGTGGTGGATTCCTCAGGCCCTGGTCTACCCCAATTATGGTTCTAAAGGCACCATAAACAAGGATATCTGAGTCTAGAGCCTGGGTTTAGCAGGACAGAACATAAGGAAATGTAACTCTCCAGTCTCAGAGGCCAGGCTCCATGCTGGTCTGTCTCAAGCCAGTTCCCAAGGAAAGCTCTCCAGGGACAAGGAAGGCTCCTGGCCACAGTGGCTACTGTAACTGCCCACATCTCAAAATTCTGCTGTTCCTGTTTCCCACTGTCAGCACTCCGGACAAAGCACTCAAAGCTGACACTCATCACCTCCGGGGTATCTGAGAAACAAAACCCACGTGGCACAGAGCCTGGATGGCTTTGTCCCCCTGCAGGTGACCACAACAGGGGCTACACAGGGGACCCTGCTGTATCTAACACAGCTGTGGCTCTCTGAAATATCTCTGAAATCCGCCACCACCCGAGCCCAGAGCACATGATCCGAGTGACAGCACAGGTATGTGTTGAAAAAGAAAAGGAGAATAGAAATGCATTATTTGCACGGTGCTTTCTCAACTACCTTCCCTTTTTCTTGAGTGTTTCCCTCAGATCCTTCACACTTTCCAGCAAAAACCTGAGCCTGTGTGGCCCCGTTTTGGGCCAGCTGTAGCAGTGGGTGCCCAGGTAGTGCCGCGGGTCGAAGCAGTACAGGGGAACCACAAAATCAGCGTTGTGCTGAGCCCAGTGCAGCACCTGGAAACACAGAGCGGGCCGTGAGAGCGGCCGGGGCGGGATGGGGGACAATCCCTCCCCATCCTGCCCCAAACACCGGCGCTGTCCCTGCCCCAACCCGCGGCGCTCCTACCTGGTTATCGTGGGCGCGCAGGTCGCAGCGCAGCACGCAGATGGCCGTGCCCGCTGTCCCCGACATGTTCCCTCCGTGCGGCCTCTCCCACCTCACCCGGGCCGGCTCCGTGCCCCTCTGCCCGGCCCCTCATCCCGCCCTGCCGGGGAGGAGCCGTCCTGCTCCGATCCCCGTGTCCGCCCCCAGCGCATCCCGAGGGACCGGCACGTCCCGTCCCGCATCCCTGCGGGGCAGCGGCGAGCTCGCTTCCCTCGCTCCCTGTGGCTCAGCACATGTATTTTCACATATATATGAAAATATATATCTGAATATATGTTTTCGCATATATATGAAAATATATATTCATATATATGAATATAAGTATGAAAATATATATGAATATATATGATATATATAATATATACGATATATATAATATTATATATATCATATATATGAGATAGACATATACTATATAATATCTACTACATACTATATCCTACATAATATATCCTACATAATATATACTATATAATATATAATATATTATATATTATATATACTATATAATATATACGTATACTATATACGTATACGAATATGTATATGTATATGCCTGCCCCGGCTGGTCGCTCTTATTGCTGGGTGTTGTTTTCTTTTTTAACCTCCTGATCTTTTAAAATCTCTTTATCTGTGAAAAAGCCATGTTATGATTGGCTTTTTGCAAATATTAAAATGAACATTATATGTGGTGAGTTAGAAAGTAATAATGTATTAATTGTCTTAAGCAGTGTGTTAATTGTCTTAAGTAGACTGTTAATATTTAACACACTACTTAAGAGAATGAATACATTATTAGTTATTACAAAAAATATCACCTATTTTTTTAGATGATATTAAAATAGAAAAATAAATTAAAGCATTAAAATATAAACTATGCTATGCAGGATACTTTTTTTTAAAGAAAAGACTCGCAGCCACAGGACACCTAAATCTGTCAGAGAAAAAGAATTTATTGCCCCATTATCAGAAGAAACAAACTTCTTCCCACCTTGAAGGCACTGTTAGGATTCAGAGGAAGAAGTTGACAATGACCAGACAGAATCTTGTGTTTGAATGGAATTTATGCATCATGTATGAGATGTATGAATATGCAACAGGTTATTGCTTTTAAGGGTTAATCCTCTGTTAACGTGGGGCCTTTTTCAGGCTTGTGCTGCCCATAAAAAGGTACCCAGACATCTGTGACTCTTTGTTTCTGTTGTCTCATATTGTCCTAATTCAAATTGTCCAAATTATTATTACTCTGATTGTATTACAATTTTATAACCATTTTATTACTATTAAACTTTTATAATTTTAAAACACGTGACTGGCGTTTTTCACATTATCTTTCACACAACAGCATCAGGGAACCGCTGGCCCCGCTGTGCTGAGGCTCAGCCACGGTGTCAGCGACCCTGTGCCACACCGAGCCTCGCCCTGCTCTGACAGTGTTGATCCTTTAAATGGCACCGCTGAGATGTGATGGCCACCAGCACAGGAACGAGCTTGCCACCTGCTGACCGACAAAAGGCGAGCTGTAGGTTTGCAATATTTAATGTACTTGGTTCTCAGCACTGACAAAAGTGGCTGAAGTGAAAAGGTTTTGCCTTATCCTGTATTGGGCACCAGTGGTCACACATCCCTTACTCACTGAATTGTCCCTCAGGATCCTTTTATTTTTTTTTTTATTCAGCTACTCTCATAAGAGGAAACCAAGCACAGGAACTGCCTGCCCAAGGAAGCAGTGGAGTCACCATCCTTAGGGACATAGCGTAGTGGTGGATGTCGCACTGCTGGGTTAATGGTTGGACTCAAGGTCTTTTCCAACGTAAATGATTCTCTGATTCTATGAAATGCTCGGTTTATGAGTCCTCCAGCCACCTGCTTCCTTTGTGTAACTCCACTGATAGTCCTGGGATAGGAGAGCAATGGAGAAGGGGTTAACACATTGCAGCAAGGAGCTGGTGATGATTCAGGATCCAGGTTTACAGCAATGAGTTGCTGCAGCTCATTTAAGTACCTGAATGCTGAAGTGGAGTTTTTGGTGAAGCCACACAGACTCTGAGAGATTAAATGTGGTACCCAAACCCCAGTGGGTCCTGGGGAGTCCTGGCTTCAGGTCCATCTCCTCCAGGCCTGGTGTGCTCTGCATGCAGCCTGGCTGTGGGAAGTGATGTGGTTCCCTGTGTAACCCACATGACACATCATCTCCTGATCCCTGCTCTTGCACCAGGGCTCCTTTTCCTGGCTCAGCAGCTGCAGCCCATTGAGAACCAGTCAGTGACTCATCCCAGAGGGCTCATGTTTGGTAAAAGAAAAGAGGAGCCAAAACTTTGGCTCATGCCCAAGGAAAACACTGCTGTCGGTTGCAATGCTTAGAAGACAACATGTCTCTTTATCATATTAGAAATAATGAAAAAAGCACAGTTTATAAGTCTTCCCTGTTTGCCTTTGCCTTCATTGGGACGAGGACAAACAGTGCAGTTGGCTTTGCTTTTGTTTGCAGTCAGGCTTCCCCCACAGTGTCTTGGCTGACATTAAGCTGGGCCAAGTCTGGCAGTGCTGACATCCTCTTGGAGCTTACTCAGAGCTGTGAGACAGCCACCCACGTGCTCTGCAAGGCCAGGAGCCCCATCAAAAGCGTGTGCAAAAAAAAAAGGGGTGCCCTGCTGCCTGCTAAGGGGTATTTCCCATTGGCAAGGAAGCCTGGTTTCCACTAAACGCACACCTCTGCAACATAACACTGAGAGGAGATTTGAAACTCTTGATGTGACAGTGAGGAAAGAAAAGTGGGTTTAACTCTCTGCCAGCTTTCTATTTGTGTTGATAGAAAAGGTGTGAGGTGTCCAACACTGGCAGCAAGAGCAGCACAACAGACTCTGCACCCACACAGCTGTTGGACGTGGTGATCCAGGCAGCAAGAGTGGGCAGGAAAAACAGATGTCCATAAGGGATGGGCAGTTTGCTCAGACCCAGAACCCAGATTTATGCTCAACACCATACCCTTTCCATCCCAAGGCTGGAGATTTGTTTTATTTATTTCTTTTAATTCTTTTTCTTTATTTTCTTTTGTTTTATTTATTTTATTTCTTGTAGGAGAGTACAAATCCTGCTGCACACTCAAGCCAGTGATTCCTAAAACAGTGCTGATCACATCCACTCTGGATTCTACCCTGAGAAAAAAGATGGGTTTTTTTTTTACTTACACACTCTCTTCTCTTCAGATTCTGCAAGTACATCTGCCTAGTCCCTGCTTCTGTGAGACCTTATGAAATCATCCTCTGAAAATAAGTGTAACAGGGGTGTTTGGGAAAGGCAGCGTGGGCAGGAATACTTTGTTCTAAAATTAGAAACCAGGAGACCTGGCATTTTGAACTGCAGGCCTGCCAGTCTCCTTGCCTGGATTTTCCATCCAGATGAACACAGTCAATGAGAACAAAAGCTTTCTTTTCTTCCCCACTGACACCTGTCTCTTTACTCCAGGATGGTGTTCCAGCTTTCCATCCTCCCTCTGGGAAGCAGGGAAGCATTGCTTGCTTGCAATACCAGCAATCTCTCTGCCAATATGGAGGGAACAAGCTGTCCACTGTCATTTTTGTTCTTCTGAGCATCCTCCAAGAAACCAGCTCCTTTCCTGGAGTCCTGAGGTTAGGCAATTCATGGGACTTGGGAGGGACTCTATGAGCTTTAACAAAGTTACACAGGGGACCTGTAATAGAAGAATTGGATATCAATGTGAACAGCAGCATGTGAGCTCTTTGTTTCTCAGAGAAAACCCCCTGGAATAACAGGTCATGGACAGACCCCAACTTCCAAGTCAATAATCATCCAGCAGTCCTTTTCTCCTGGCTTCTTTGGGTGTCCTTTTTCACTCATTACAGCCATTTATGGTCTCTTGTTTATTCCTGGTGTTGAGTGTGACAGTCAGAGCTGCCTGTTGTACCCGTCCTGGGTAACAGAGGATTGTACCTCACCACCCCTGCAGTAAGGTCACCTTTTATAACTTCTGCTGAACATATACAGAAATATCTCAGAAATATAGACAGGTTTGTGACATTTCTCTTTTCCTTTCCTCTGCTTCCCTCCCCTCCCATGTTCACAATCACCTGTGCCCAATTTCATTCACGATGTGCATCCACCATCTCAATTCAGATGGTGTTCCACCTGTCAAAAGCACAAATTGGCCTGAAAATTTTCCTTTTTCATTTTGGAAGCAAATCCCAACTGTTGATCCTTTCAAGTCTCTGTGAGAGCGACGCTTTTGCATTTAGCTGGTCACGCATGAGAGGTCTGACATCGTTATTTGATGTTTTACTGATTCTCCCTCTGAGCCCTTCACAGAATCTCGAATCATGTCATCATTAGCTGTTTGCATAAAAGCATAAAAAAGCAAAAAGAGCATAAAAACTGTAGGATCAACACAGCTCTGCTCAGGGACAGACCAGAGATTCTGTTACCAGCCCTGTTGCATCCAAGCGTGTGCTCTAATGGCTCTTTGTGACAAGCACACTTTGAGTAGCATGATAAATCCTATCCACCCAACACCTCTCTCTTCTCATGCATGTCTGATACTGCACCTAGATCTATCTTTCAGCTTTTTGAACCATTAGGAACAGTGACAACCTGCTTTCAATGCCTATTTCCTTCCAGAGATAATGCTTTGATGCTTTGATTGCAAAAGGCTTGGGACTCTCTTCCCTGGTGGAAGCAGAAGGACATTGCCCTGCTCCAAGGGTTCAGTTCTCTGCCTGCAGAAATGCAGCCACTCTTTCTACAGGTCAGAGGCTTTTCCCTATGCCATTTGTCATTCTGGTTTGGAGGGGTCTTGTCATCAGAGGCAGTGCAGGGACTGTCTGGCCTTGGTTCTGCTGGGAACGTCCTTGTAGGAAAACATAGACACTGACTTCTCTTTGTAGTTCAGCTTGTGACCACTACTCATTAAATCTGTCATTTCCTCTTCTGCCTTTCAGCAGCGTTTCCTCCATCAGGAACCCAATGACCCTCTGCAAGCTCTCATCCACCTACAATTACTGGACCTGTGG